ATGGAGGAAAAAGCAGGACAAGGGACAGGACAACTTACCTGTTTCCCTTTTTAAATTCTGCTTCTAAGTATCGGATGCTGTCCCGAGCTCCTGCATTCTCCTTCTTCAGGAAATCTAAGCCATCAATGACTAAAACAAGAGCCAAACATTCTTGTTATTTCCCCTTTAACAGCAGTAGGTCGTAGAGCAGGCAGCCCACTTCCCCCCGCAACCTCCAGAGTCCCAAGGGGGCTCGGAAATCTTCCTAAAGCCACATCTCCTCTGGCCCAACATCTCCATACGCCTTCCTTCCTCTTCCCTTCCAGGCAGGCATGATGAGGTACTGTTCTGACCTAGGTGTCAACTAAAAAATACTTATTTGGTCTTTTTAGTTGGCAGCAAAATGGGAGTGGGGGAAAGCAGTGCATTCCTTAAATGCTTCAGATAACCGCTTTGGCAACCAAAGCTGTTGGCGTGCAAGTTTATTACTGGAGAGCATGATTGATGACTCTGGGCTATGGATGTGTCTCATTGGAGAATATATATCCAAGGGGGTGGGGGGAAGACTAGGGTCAAGGGGGAAATGAATGATGTGTCAGAGTCGGCTGCAACCAGGAAACGCCGACATGTCAACTCCTAATAAATCAATCTTTTTTACTCTGAGGGATGTGGCTAGAGACTTATGATCTGAATGGGGGTGCATGTTGGAGTCCTGACACTAGCCTTCCTTAGAAATCATAGAACACAATCTTAATCCCCGGCAAAACCTCTTTTATTTCCATGGCTGTGAATTATGTTCATTCACAGCCTGCAAGGCTTCAGAAACAGTCTTTCAGGGGAATGTTTAGACACCTACCTTACTGCACTTGGAATGCGGCCAGAGAACTAATTGCCAGATGCAGGGCAAGGCCAAATTGGATACAGAGTCAAACAGAACTTTTCAAAGCTTGAATTGACCAGACGAACTAATTGCTTCCTGCAAAAGCTCACATCCCGTTCGCTCCTCTTTTATGTCCCAGGAGAGGGGCCAATCATCTCCGAGGTGTGGCCTTACTCCTGAGTTGACCCTGCTTTCTCAATTGTTCTTGTCTTCTGGTAGCCCTGTGCATGCGCAGGCTGGGAAGTGGTTCCAGAAGCTCCCTCGCCTCACTGCTGTCTGAGTCTGAAGGCAGCTGATGACTGCCAGTCTGCCCTGGCCCGGCTCTGATGCAGAGCCCTTCTCCAGGCCTTCCTCAGCCTCCAGGCCCAGCCCAGGTTCCTCCTCAACCTCCTCACTACTGTCTGACTCTGCTGCCAGCTTCGTCAGCTGCCAGTGGGCCACAACAGGTACAGAGAAACTTCCCTTGGCCAAATCTACTAGGACTGCGCCAGAAGGGATTCCTTCTGCTTCAGCTCTACCTGCGTTCTGCTTACCTGTCCGTGGGATGATGACAATGAACCTCCCGCTGGCAGCCAGTTGCCGGATGGGGCTGAGGTGCTGGCAGAGGGCCTGGGTGTCCGGGACCAGGTAAGGGGACATCACACACTGAGCCTTGGGCTGCTGGAGACTGCCTTCCAGCTGGGACACCTCCAGCTGTTTGGGGGAAGGAGGGGAAAACAATGGAAACAAGAATCTTTAGAGAAGAAGCTTGGAGGAGTGGCAAGTTGTCTCCTTGCAACTCAGCAGATGAAAAGCAGCGACGAAGGCAGAAAGTTATTTCATGCAAACATATACAACTCGCCAGCTATTTAGTTGGGAGGGCCACAATTCCTCACCGGTGGCGGTATGCTACCGGTTCGGCCCGGTTCAGTAGTAAAAATCACTACCTGTTCCTCTGATCAGCTGAGAGGAGAAAAAAAAAACCTCCCACAATCAGCTGAGGATACAAGTCTGAAAAGCGCATGGAAGGGTCACTCCTAGCTTTTCCTTTCTTCATCCTCTCAGCTGATTGGGTTGTTAAGGGCGCGCGCGCGCGCATGTGCGATCACCCACTGAACTGGTAGCGACTAAGGTAGGATCCCACTACTGTTCCTCACCCAGAATTAATATAGTAAATACCAGCAGGTTGCGATGAATGGAAATTGGAATATTGCAATATTTGATTCAGGGCAAAGAGTGTCATGCCCCTGTTGGAGTCTGAATCCGAGGAGGAAGATGAACAGCTGACAGGGAGTGGGCGTGTGGCTCCGTTGGCTGTGGAGGAAACTGGGGAAGGGCAAAGTCCGGCTGGGCAGAGCAGGAGAGGTGTAGAACAAGGGAGAAGGAGTTCAGAAGAAGACCCAGGCCCACCCCCTCTTCATCCTAGGGCACGCAGGGAGGAACGGAGAAGAGAGCAACGTGGGTTGCGTGGCTTATGGGGGAGGAAAGGGCCCTGATTCCCTTCATTAGCTACAGCTGGGAAGAGAGTT